CCCCCCCCCCCCAACTATACATGCTAGCTACGGCACTGTTTCCCAAGGGCGAGATCCACGTAATCTGTAGGTTTGTTTTGCTTGCACCACATATGTATATATTTATGTAACCTTCGTTTCAACGTTTCTGACAGTATTTATAATTATGCGTGGCTCGCATGATTTGGGTACCTAATATAGCTTGCAAACCCAAAAAGAACACGATACTCTATTTTACTCGACTGAAATATCATAGATTTATTTCATTTACATATCATCTAAACCACATAGAAATAAGCTAGAAAAGTTGTACAGTAACTAATTTTACAGGTTTACGGCATGTTCTTCCAAGGTAAAATGGAAACTTAAATTCCGTTGCCTTTACAGTAAACTCTATATAGCTATATCTCCTGTTTTCGGTTGGCAATGCCCATGGGCAAATATCATAGACGACATGACGTCGTAGACACTCTGGCGATTACGCCAAAGCTAAGAATATTTTTAAAGTACCGAGCGTTCGAAATTATTCTATTTACCGTAATTTTGAGAGAGAAAGATAGTTGCCATCACATTGTGTTTTTTTTTCAATAATTGCATTTTGCTAAATTAAAGATAATTGGCTATCTGAATACCACTGTAATAAACCACAATAAGATCCTTGACCTTGAAGCTATAGGCTTGCAAGGTAAAAATGAATATACTTGTTTTAAAACAAGTATATTCATGGACACGTGAACTTTGTATCTTATAATGAGGAGATTGCCACCCACCTTTGAAATATTTTACTTGCTTGAATTTATTTCAGTTACATATCAACTGCTGAAACTGAAATCTCTCGTGAACAAGACTTATACAGTAACTTATTTTACAGTTTTATGTGACATTCTCTCTATGAAGCTAAATTAAATGCAGCTTAAATTTTGTTGCGATTATAGTAAATTAAACTTGCCTGTTTCGTTGTCTATGCCCATGGGCGAATATCATTGAAGACAGGATGTCGTAGACATTCAGTCTATTAATTACGCCGAAGCTAAAAATATTTTTAAATTATAGAAATTTCGAAATTATTTTCTTTACTGTAATTTGGAGATAGAAAGATAGTTGCCATCACTTTTTTCCCCCAAATTGGGTTTTGCTTTTAAGATATTTAATTAGCTTGATAACATTGTATTATACCACAATAAGTTCCTTTCCCTTGCATGAAGGCTTGCATGATAAAAATTAATATAATTGTCTTGTTTTGTTTTGTTTTGTTTTGTTTTGTTGAGACGCTTATTTGTCTACCTCGACTTTGGCGGAGCCTTGATCAAGTTCTGGTCTTCATTGTTCGTATAATAACGTTTTGACTGCACTGGTGAAGATCCATGCAGGCTTAGGGGTCTTAAGCTATAGTAACAGAAAATAAACGTGATGTTTCTATAAATACCAAACAATTATGTTTCCGGACGCAATCATACAAGGAACTAATAATTATATACTAACACCTACATAATTATGTACAAAAAAATATTGCGAGAGATTAATAACAGAAATATCTTCTTGTTGAATGACATTGTTCACGCAATTGAAGCTTCACAATGTATAGCTATTTAAATAGTTGAGTGTGGTTGTGCCACAATGGTGAGTGCCTTTTTATCTACTTCTGGCGTATATGAGTGCTCTTTGAGAGTTCTGTGAGAGTTATCGACCCAACCAAACACACTTGACCTCTATGGAGAACAGTTTAGAACTGAAAGAGCTATCCAGTATAACTATTAAGTCAGTTTAGTTGTTTTTCTACTGTCGTAACACTGAACCACCTTTGGTGAGAACAGCGGTTTAATTAGCACTGAACGGGTTAGCTAGCTTATCTATTTGCTGACGCAGCGAGCGAGCCTGAAGCGAGCGAGCAAGTCAGCAGTTCTAATTCGTATTGGGCTCTGAAAGTAAGATTTTACTTCCGTTTCTCCGACCAGCATGCACTGCTGTTAACCGACCAGAATGCATCGCTGTTAACCTACCAGAATGCTTTGCATGCATGATGCTATATAAATGCAGTTGTTTTGGTGTATTTTGTATTCATTGTGTGGTCTGTTGATTTCTGGCTTGTCTCTACACTACAGCAAGTATACATACTGAATTTGCTTATTGCAAACAATTTGTAACGCTTGGACAGCTATATTTCTGTGCTTGTGTTCTTTGCCTTATCTTGTTTTCTCTTTTCTTACATCATTTAGCATTTAGCACTTAGCACTATATACAGTAAAATCAACATTGCATGGTCATTGTATTTGTCGGCCAGCTCAAAGCGTTCATTTCAAGCGTTAAAAGTGAACTAATTTAATCTCGATTGCATGTTGTCGATCAGTTTGGTATAATTTAAACTGGATTTTGTCTGTTGACTATTTTGTTTGAATTGAATCTGACTTGACTATCAGGGTAATTGACACGGAGACAT